CTCCTCACCACGCAGCGCTAAATCCATTAAAATGCGAAATCAATGAGACATTAAGTGATCTTTGCATAAAAGCAGATTGTGCTGGCGGCGGTTCGACGTATTTAAAGAGAGAAACTTCCAGAAGACCATCATTTGCTCACATAAGATGAGGCGGAGAGAAAGTTCATGCGCTGTCAGGCTCCATTTGAACACGCTGACTTTCTCCCCCCTCTTCCTCATCTGGGGTCTTTAAATTGAGCTAAATGCTAAATAGCCCCCCAAGAACATCTACAGAAACGCACATACTTTGGCCAGTGCTGCTAAAACACATCAGAGTGACGAAAGCAAAAACACACAGGTGTAAGTACGGTCAGATGAGGCGCAGAGAAATCTAATAATCACCGGTGTGGAGATCCATTACACACACCGGACGAGCCGTCTAATGTTACACTGCATGTGGAGAAATCATTAGCATCCTTCGTCCTGTAACGAGAGCTAATTTAACCAAACTGACCACGAGCCGAGATGAAATTATTGCAGTTAAGCCTTCTGATAAATTCATTATTTATGTAAACCGCTGGTAAATTCAATCAAAATTTGTCTAAATTACACTCAGATGTGTCACAAAAATTGGTAACACTTTACAATAAGGTTCATTTATTAAACATTAGTTAATGCATTAACTAACATAAACTAACCATGAGCAATACATTTGTTACTGTACTTGTTAATCTTTATTAACATTAGTCTAGCTGTTCATTGTTGTTCATGTTAGTTCACAGTGCATTAACTAATGTTAACAAGATTTTAATGAAGTAAAATTAACATTAACAAATGCTGAAGAAGTATTATTCATTCTCAGTTAATGTTAACTAATGTAGTTAGCTAATGGACCTTATTGTAAAGTGTTACCCAAAAAAATGTATACAGTATGAAAAAATATTAATTTTGACATTTTTTAAAGGCATGTAACAATGACAAACTATAAAATATTAATAGATATTATAACAGTACTGTATGTAAACAATACTAAAATATCTCTGAAATGAGCAAGTATAATATTCTGATCTGATATCGGCCAATATATATCCATTAGGAACCAATACAATATGTTTCGTAAAATAAAGTTATATATCATGCATCCCTATAAACTGGAAAATGCATTTTCTAAAGGCATGTAACAATGACAAACTATAAAATATTAATAAATATTTAGGGCTGTGCAAAAATTAATTGCGATTAATCGCATCCAAAATAAAAGTCTGTGTTTACATAATATATTTGTGTGTGCTGTATATAATTATTTTGTATATATAAATACCTATGCATGCATGTATATATTTAAGAATTATTTGCGCTTAAATTTTGTATATATATATATATATATATATATATATAAATAAATACATAATCTATATTATATAAATATAAATATTTTATATATGAATAACACATTTTCTTAAATATATACATGCATGTGTGTGTATTTATATATACACAATAATTATATACAGCACACACAAATATATTATGTAAACACAGACTTTTATTTTGGATGCGATTAATCGCAGTTAATTTTTGCACAGCCCTATAAATTTAACAGTACTGTATATAAATAATACTAAAATATCTCTGAAATGAGGATTTACAATATTCTGGTCTGATATCGGCCAATATACATCCATTATGGACCAATACAATATGTTTCGAAAAATATCCGATAATCATAAAGTTATATATCATGCATCCCTATAAACCACAGCAAACACATAATTGGAAAATGCATTTTGTAAAGGCATGTAACAATGACAAACTATAAAATAGAGATTATATGTAAATAATACTTAAATATCTCTGAAATGTGCATGTTCAATATTCTGATCTGATATCGGCCAATATATATCCATTATGAACCAATACAATATGTTTCGAAAAATAAAGTTATATATCAACTACAGCAAACACATAATTGGAAAATGCATGTAGTCGTAAATATTTCTCCAAAACCAAAGGAGAATTTAGTTTAGCCATGTCCTGTTGACTTGCTTTGTCGAGCTGATTTTTGAGTTGAGTTGTTTTATGTGCTCATCGTGTGTCAGACGATCCAAATGTGAAGCTGAGACTAGTCTCCACATGTTTGACACTAGCGAATCGTGTCTTGTTTGGTCCCATAGCAGGATGAGTTTGCATCATCATTAAGTAAAACACAGACATCATCCCCAATTGTTCTTCAGATGCTCTCACATCTGTCTGAGCGAATGAAGCTCTGTGTTCTCCACACCAGGGAACACCGCACGCGCCACACTCGGCCGAGACGAGCATATGTTTCCTCTCTAAAGTGTTGGCTATTCAGGGTGTGCTGAGACTTGGACGAGACTCTGCGTTGTGTGTGTGTGTGTGTGTGTGTGTGTTCACATGATTGTGAGCGTGTGAAAGTGAGTGGGTGTTTTGTTAACACAGAGGTCAGACTGTCCTCCGTCATCACAGCACTGCCCCCTTCAGACTCCGGATGGAATAGCATGATGCATGAAGCCCGGGAGCTGGTCCAGATTTAGTGTGTCGTGGTCACACGGTGACGTAAGAGTTCTCACACAGGTGTGTGTGTGTGTGTTTCTTCGTCTGAAATCTGCAGAGACAAATGGCTCCTGATGGCTGATTTGTCAGCAGTCTCATCATGTTCGTTTTTAAGATCACCCTCCAGGCAACACACACACACACACACACACACACAACTGCTCTCAATATTAGCAAACAGACCCTCTACTAGAGCAGACAACGAACAGAGATGGATGTTCATACTGAAAGCAATTTGTAGAAACCTAACGTCATTTGTAATTTTCTATAAGAGTTGGTGATTTAAAGTGTCGCCCGACATGGGCTTATTTTATAATGTTAGTATGTTTTTTAGATCAAAAATAGTCATAATTTAGAAATAAAAGGCATTTTTTCTAGCCTGGTTTGAAGGGGCGTGTCTGCGTGGGATTCAGTGACCCCTCCCACTGCTGTGATTGGCTGACATGCCAACTCTCGAATACTTTTACTACAGCTATTATACGTTTTTACTGTCACAGCTATCGAGATTAACGAATCAAAGTATTTAGACCGTGAGCGTTGAGCAGCGACATGAGCGAAAGTTCAACTTTATGCAAATGAGCAGTGGTGTGTGTGTGTGTGTGGGATCCGCTTCCTTTAAAGGAGTGGTTCACTTTTGAAAAAACTTTTGCTGATAATTTACTCGCCCCCATGTCATCCAAGATGTCCATGTCTTTCTTTCCTCAGTCGAAAAGAAATTAAGGTTTTTGATGAAAACATTCCAGGATTTTTCTCTATGTAATGGACTTCAATGGGGACCAAACGGTTCAAGGTCCAAAAGACAGTTAATAACAGTTTCAGATGCAGCTTCAAATTTCAAAACTTATTCCAAAAATGTAACTTTTCTAAGGACAAATGCTAGCCTTGCTCTATTCTGTAAGGCGCGTTTGTAAGGTCACGTAATACGTAATTACGTTGAAAAGGTCACGGGCGACGTAACCGGAAATACGTTTTTTGGAATAATAAACGATCGTTTCGCATGATAAGACCCTTATTCATCGTCTGGTGTCGTTTAAAGACATTTGAACAGTTTGCACTGAAACTCTCATTTGGACCTTGAACCGTTTGGTCCCCATTGAAGTCCATTATATGGAGAAAAATCCTGGAATGTTTTCATGAAAAACCTTAATTTCTTTTTGACTGAAGAAAGAAAGACGTGGACATCTCGGATGACATGGGGGTGAGTAAATTATCAGCAAAAGTTTTTTCAAAAGTGAACTACTCCTTTAAAGTTGCATACTGCAGTGCAACCAACACAGTCTCAAGTGATCCTTTTCATCGTAGCTTCTGTATGCAAATGAGCTCTGCTGTGATTGGCTTATAAAAATGTGAAGGCCATTTCCGAATCATCAAAGTCCTGTGTTAGGAGAGTGTTTCCTTGTGTTGTGTTTCGTCACACTGCATATCTCTCTTTCCTAGTGGTGTGTGTTTTTGATCGTCTCGTAAGGTCTGTTATCTCACATCTCTGGAGTGTTCCACGTGCTGCTACGGTCTACTGTGCTTGACCTTTGACCCCATGCTTTTATTTTGACGCCCAGCTGACCACTGGAGGAGAGAATAGCCCTAAATAGGTCATCTTTTAAAAGATTTAGGGTCAGGACAGCCTTTGAAATATGACTTCTTATATATTTCTTATATTCTCTCTTGGACAAACGGTTGACAAATGGTCTTTTTTTCACCCCATGTTTTAGAAATATCATATTTGATAGCACAATAACGTATCACAGTTGTATGGGTGTGAATATGTACAGTATGAAGAAAGCACATGATTCATTAAAGGTCTGACTAAGAACACACTTCATGCCAATCCTCCACTCTTGTGAAATGATCAGAATGGTGTGTGTGTGTGTGTGTGTTGTGCGACTGAAAGAGCGTCCTTTCTTTATAAACAAACAGTGAGTAAAGTGTTTATCCTCCTCTCCGGCTTGTTTTCCTTTGTGTTTTCACCGTTGGCCTCCTCTTAACACCCAGGAATAGAAAATCATTTTCCCTCGTGAGCGGCAGAGAAAAGCGTTTCTCTTTCTCTCATTATAATGAAAGCACAGACAGATCCTTGTTAAGCCCGGATCATCTGAACGGGTTAAACTTCTTATTTCATAAATATGAAAAAAAAAAAAAAGACAATCCCACGGTCAGAGATGGATTCAGGGATCTCCAGCCCCGCATTTACATTAAAACGGGAGCTTGTTATACGGTGAAATTTCAATGAAGGCACCGCAGAACGCATTTAATGAAATTCAGATGTGGCTCCATGAATCTCATTAAGAGTCTTTGTGCTTTCCTGCTGTCCGATTTCCCCCTCGTCCGCCCGGTCGAGAGAGATTTCATCAGCGCTCGGCTTTTAAGAAGACAATGTCCGTTCAGATCTGAACTCCCGAGTTCAAAAGCCGCACGACTGACTCTTCCTCTGTTTCTGTCTCTCTTCACAGGCTTTGGCTTCGTAACTTTCGAGAATGAAGACATTGTAGAGAAAGTCTGTGAAATTCATTTTCACGAAATCAATAATAAAATGGTAAGTGTCTCTACACGTTTTCAATTTCTGAAGGTGATTGTGGGATTAATATTTTATTTCCCATTTAACAGCATGCGGTGAGTGTGTAAACAGTGTTGGGCGGTGGCCAGAAAGCGTGAAATTGTGTGTGTGAAAACATTTTGTTCAGTCAACAAGAGTCAGAAACTTTCCCCTTTTCCCTTCATATAGAAATGCTTGAATCATTACTGATGAGAGGCGGGATGTTCGTGTCTCAATCCGCTCCCTAGTTCACTAGTCAGGGCACTGATCAGGGAATTGGCCGTTTTAAAGGGATAGTTCACTTTGAAATTAATGTTTGCTATGTTTTATCTTACCTCAAATGCATACAAGGTTTGTTTCCGCAGTAGTTTCAATTTTGATATTTGTAGGTCAAACCGTTCAGTCATATAATGGAGGTCTATGGTCACCACTTCAAAGAGCATGCACAGAGAAGTCCAAATTAAACATGATTTAATGACTCGTAAATGTAAGTACACATTGATGGCCTAAGACACGAAACGAGCGGTTTGAGTGAGAAAATGAACAGTATTTATATCGTTTTTACCTCTTGTAACCACAGCCGAAGCGTCCTCACCCTCAGATCACTTGGATGTGTTGCTGTGGTTACAAGAGGTAACATACATACCAAAAATGTATTTCAAAGTGAACTATCCCTTTAAAGGCTGCCTTAATCGCAAAATCCTTCAAGTGCACTGAAATATTCGCTCACTTAAAAATGTAGAGCCTGATCGATAAAGGATTTTGAAGGCCGATACCGATACGAATATTTTGGGGTTTTAAAATCCGATATATCGGCCGATATTTTATTTATTTATTTATTTATTTATTTTAAACTGGAGATGATTAGTCACACATTTTGTCCTGCTTATTTGAGTTAAGAGAACTGATGGGGATGAACTTTTAATTGTTATTCAAGCAATGTATGTATCGTGACCAACTCAACGAGTGTAGAGCGCCCTCTGGTGGACAAACTATACAACTCCAACACTCATGACATGGTTCAAGCGTGTTTCGTCCGTTTTTATTTTATTTTTGAAATATTCATTTATCGGCCATTATAACTGCCGATACCGATAGTTTGGAAAATGCCTAATATCGGCCGATAATATCGGCCTGCCGATATATCGGTCTGGCTCTACTAAAAAGTCCCACAAGGCACCAAGAAAATCAGGACCCAACAGAGCTCACCATTACATAATTTCTAAAGTGTGAAACAAATCACGAACGTGTGATTAAATGTGTGTTAAATGTGAACAAATTATGAACATACATCGCTACACAGGTAGTGAACACAATCTAGATCTGCAATCTCTATGTTTTTTTTACGACTGAAATGTTGCAGGCATACCGTATGTAACGTGCAAATTACAGTATGAACCAGAATGTACATGTTAAAAAAAAACATAAAATGTCAGAAAGAGATCAGTTCTGCTGTTCATAAATACCAGTTGTGACATCATACAACAAATCAATGACCCAGCCAGGGTTGCATGAAATCGTGTGTACGATATACTGATTCTCGAGCGAGGGATCTGATTGAAACGCACACGTCGAGTTCATTAAATAAGGATTATCACCCCACAGGCCCTCCATTATTGGGCAGCACACGGGACTGGCGTGCCAATGTTAACTTTCAGCTTGCAAATAAATGTTTCTTCTTGTAATCAGGTGGGAAAAGACATGGGCTGAATCTGAAATCGGCCCCCTATACCCTCATATTGGGCATTATTCAAGGGGACACCCAAACCATAGTGGACGTTATTGAGTGCTCTCGGACGTTCCCTCGATCGAAAGGCTATGCATTTTCCCCATAGTTATAAAAAATAAGATCTGTGTTCAACAAAGAGTTGTGACCCTTACACGTTTTGTCTAATCGAGATAATCCTTACAAGTTAATCCAAAATGTATACATTTTGAAGCCTATATGAAGTGTAAAAACCACCAGCAGGTTATAACTGTGTGTTTTATGTCATAGATCAAAACGTGAAAATATTTAGAGGCTTTGGACACCACAGACCTTATTTCAGGCGATTTAGCAAAAACACATTCAAAAAACCCATAGGCTTTAGAGCGAGGGAAGCGGGAGTGCTAAAATGCTAACTCACTACAGCATTTTGCCCTACAGAGTTTGCATTGCATAGTCGATTGCATTGTTACTTGATTTGTCAAAGTGTGCAAGTTTCATGGCTTCAAATGTTTGTTTTAAATGCTAAATATCCAGTATTCTCATACTCTCTATGCAGAGTTTTACACCTTAAACGTCACATAAAATTGGATAAATAAAGCGTCAGCTAAATGAATAAGTTGGCTCTTTTTGGCCAGATTTAGCTGAAATATGTGAACCTAGTTGAGAATCTTTTGTAAACAATGTAATATTATATTTAACTAAAAATGTAACAGTTATTTTAATTACTCGATCAATCAAAAACAAAAAAAAAAAGAAAAGCTTTCTTGAAGATAAGAAAATAAGATTTCTGTTTGAAATAAATGTTGTACTTTTGAACTTTCTATTGAAAGTGTCCTAAATAAGTATCACAGTTTCCACAAAAACATCAAGACACCAAATCAGGATATTAGTGTGATTTCCAAAGGATCATGTGACACTGAAGACATGCTGAAAAATTCCATTTTCCCATCATGAATAAATTCAAATTAAAAAGATATTAAAAAAGAAACCACTTTCTATTTATTTCAAATTGTAATATTTCACAATATTTCAGTTTTTGCTGTAATTTTAATCAAATAAACGCAGCATAGGAGACTTTTGAATTATTAAATATAATTTAAATTGTAATGTTGAAGAAATAAATGATGAAAAGTGTGTACAAATGTGTTTTACGTGCAGAGGAACGTCCCCTGGCTCTCTCTGCTGTGATTGACAGGAGTCCACGAGGCTCATGGGACACCTGTGGGGTAGCAGAGGATCAAACCCCTCAGGATCTTCCGTCACAGACAGGTTGTTCCTGAGCCCAGGGACAGATCCGTGAGCGCGGAGCCATGCGATCGATTTCCCAGTGATAGTCCATCATGTGCTTGTATTGTGCAGAGGGCGGCGCAACCTTTCATTTCTGTTCTGATTGTCTCTCCAGTCGTCCATTCACTGACTGTGTAAGAACAGCACAGAGCGCTAATGTAAGGTAAATAACTGTAATGCTAGAAAAGGCTGTTTGTTTATTGGAAATGACGAGACCTGATTGCTTTCTTGCTTTGCACTTTTGCCGACCAGTGGAGCTTCACATGAGATCGAGGCCGTGTTCACACTTGGTTTGATTTCTTGGTCTGAACCAGAGTACGCCACCTTAGAGGCTAGCGGTGTGATCATTTTAAAGTTGCCCTTGAATGTGTTGAAATAATATTTTCATTTTGTGATATCATATCTGGCATATTTAGGGGGTTTTAAAATGCTAAAATGGTTTTACAGGTCCATTTTCAACAATCAAATGGTCTGTTTTTACCTTATTTGGAAGGGTCGTGAATAGTAATGAGGAGTTCTGCTCTGATTGGCCGAAGGCTCGTGAATAGTAATGAGGAGTTCTGCTCTGATTGGCCGAAGGCTCGTGAATAGTAATGAGGAGTTCTGCTCTGATTGGCCGAGAATAGTAATGAGGAGTTCTGCTCTGATTGGCTGAAGGCTTGTAAATAGTAATGAGGACTTCTGCTCTGATTGGCCGAAGGCTCGTGAATAGTAATGAGGAGTTCTGCTCTGATTGGCCGAAGGCTCGTGAATAGTAATGAGGAGTTCTGCTCTGATTGGCCGAGAATAGTAATGAGGAGTTCTGCTCTGATTGGCTGAAGGCTTGTAAATAGTAATGAGGAGTTCTGCTCTGATTGGCCGAAGGCTCGTGAATAGTAATGAGGAGTTCTGCTCTGATTGGCCGAAGGCTCGTGAATAGTAATGAGGAGTTCTGCTCTGATTGGCCGAAGGCTCGTGAATAGTAATGAGGAGTTCTGCTCTGATTGGCCGAAGGCTCGTGAATAGTAATGAGGAGTTCTGCTCTGATTGGCCGAAGGGTCGTGAATAGTAATGAGGAGTTCTGCTCTGATTGGCCGAGAATAGTAATGAGGAGTTCTGCTCTGATTGGCTGAAGGCTTGTAAATAGTAATGAGGAGTTCTGCTCTGATTGGCCGAAGGCTCGTGAATAGTAATGAGGAGTTCTGCTCTGATTGGCCGAAGGGTCGTGAAAAGTACTGAGGAGTTCTGCTCTGATTGGCTGAAGGGTCGTGAATAGTAATGAGGAGTTCTGCTCTGATTGGCTGAAGGGTCGTGAATAGCAATGAGGAGTTCTGCTCTGATTGGCTGAAGGGTCGTGAATAGTAATGAGGAGTTCTGCTCTGATTGGCCGAAGGTCGTGAATAGTAATGAGGAGTTCTGCTCTGATTGGCCGAAGGCTCATGAATAGTAATGAGGAGTTCTGATCTGATTGGCCGAAGGGTCGTGAATAGTAATGCATAGTTCTGCTCTGATTGGCCGAAGGGTTGTGAATAGTAATGAGTAGTTCTGCTCTGATTGGCTGAAGGGTCGTGAATAGTAATGAGGAGATCTGCTCTGATTGGCTGTTTCACTGGACACCAAATGGACTAATGTTAACTTAGATGCCTTGTCAAATAAATATAGGCATTATTTGCTCAGATGGGCTGTTTGCTTGTCAATATTAATTAGGTTATAAACAAATAATTGTTTTTTATTGTATATTATTTTTAAAGATGAACAGTATATCAGCATCATTGGTTATCGGACAACATTTATTGATTTTTTAATTGATTGGTTATCGGAAGATATTGGGTATTTTATTGTGCGTTTCCTGTTTTTCCATAATGCTAATCTTTAACAAAGTTCAAAATGAATATGTTTTTCATATTGTAATAATCTACAGACCTACAGAGCTTAAACACCCCAAAACCACCACAGTCCCTGAAGCTTCCAATAATTAGATGTCATTTACAGAGATGCAAACCCAGAGTCTCCTTGTGTCTTCATGTGATGATGGTGAACCTGTTTGCCTGGCTGAACATCTCACCGGGTGTCCATCTACCACACACACACACACACACACACAGATCTCGCCATCAATTCACAGGCTTTTCAAGTCTGATTAGTCCTGCTGTCTCTTTAGTGCATCAGGGGTTCTTCTCTTTTTCAGTCCAAAACTTTTTCTCAGCCAAGTTTGACTTGTTTGGTGATTGTTGAGTCTAACATGACATTTCGTGAACCTTGAAAATGCAGGTTAAATTCAGAAAACTCGAGCAGCTTCTTTGCTGTTCTTCTGTTTTGGTAGATTAGAAGGAACCAGTGCCTCTAAATGGACTCTAGAAACTGGTTTTAGAGAAGTGCTTTTAGATTTTATTCTCAAATGTGTCATTTATGGTCTAAATGAGGCATGAGTTTTATCTGACTTGTTCATTTTGTTGAGGCGGCTGCTGACCAATTATAGCTCAGAGAGAAGCAGATTTCACTACTTTGAGGGCAAATGATTTATTTTTCCTCACTTTCTTCTTTCCACAAGTGAATTGTTAAATCTTCTTTATGAATATGTGATTTTGAGGTGTTCCTTATTTCATTCAGGCGTTTTGTGATGCAGCAAAAATTCCGAAGGCCAAAATTTTCGACAAAAACAGTGACATCTAATTAGTGCTTCTGTGTTTTTTGAACGGGTTAATGTGTATTTCATGCACTTTTTATAAACGAATTGGAGTGGAAATTTAATTTTGTAATTAAGAACGCTGATATAAAAACTACCTCATTGTTCTGTTTGTAAAAGTTTATATGCAACTCTTTTTAAAAAAAAAACTTTGGTTTTCGGCTAAAAAAAAACATTAAAAAAAATGCTGAAAAATACCAAAACATGTTGAGTATAAATTGAGATCCTGCACTCTAAAAAATGCTGGGTTGTTTTAACCCAATTTTGGGTCAAATATGGACAAACCCGAAATGTTGGGTTAAAAATGTAATGTAAAAAATTAACCCAACGGCTGGGTTAGTCCATATTTGACCCAAAGTTGGGTTAAAACAACCCAGCATTTTTTAGAGTGTGAAGAGTTTGGATGATTATTTCGAATGGTTATCTTTCTCTCCCCCACACACACTGCAGTGGATTGATGAGACTGGTGAAAGCATCTCTCTGCACGAGTGTGTGTAGAGACGGTTGTAGTATTGAAACGGCTTATTGATGTCGCAACAGATGTAGTGGAACAGGCTGAAGAGTTTTTGAAAATGGTGTAATGTTTGGGGTTATGAAGGGGGTCCTGGGGTTAAAAAAGACTGAGATAACCTTTTTAGACAGCAGCAGCATGTGTGTGTGTGTGTGTGTGTGTGTGAGCAGATAATAGCCCGTGATTTTACCTCCTGGTTTATGTCTGGCTAGATGAGTGTTTGCCATCCAGAATTAAACCCATTGAAATTGACATGCTGCAGTTGTCCAAAACACTCGTTCACTAACACATCTGTACATCTCTCTCTTTCAGCTCGTGAATTATAGAAGTAGTTCACCTGAAAATGGACATTCTGGGCTTTTATCATTATATATTTGGAAAAGAGCAGCTGAACGCTTAAAGGGATAGTTCACTTTGAAATTAATTTTTGGTATGTTTTATCTTCCCTCAAGGGCATCCAAGATGTAGGTGTCTTTGTTTTTCGCAGTATTTTCAATTTTGATATTTTTAGGTCAAACCATATAATGGAGGTCTATGGTCACCACCTTAAAGAGCATGCACAGAGAAGTCCAAATTGAACATGATTTAATAACTCGTAAATGTAAGTACACATTAATGGCCTAAGACACGAAACGAGCGGTTTGTGTGAGAAAACCAACAGTATTTATATCGTCTCTTGTTACCACAAAGCGCCCAGGGATCACTTGGACATGGCTGTGGTTACAAGAGCTAAAAACGATATAAACACTCTTTGTTTTCTCACTCAAACCGCTCGTTTCGTGTCTTAGGCCATCAATGTGTACTTACATTTACGAGTCATTAAATCATGTTTAATTTAGACTTCTCTGTGCATGCTCTTTGAGGTGGTGACCATAGACCTCCATTATATGAACGGTTTGACCTAAAAATATCAAAATTGAAACTACTGTGGAAACAAAGACACCTACATCTTGGAGTAAGATAAAACATACCAAACGTTAATTTCAAAGTGAACTATCCCTTCAATATCACCTTTTGTTTTCCATGGAGTCTATTAATTGAACAAGTTACTAGTATTAATTAACACCTCATTGCTATTCTGTAGTAATTATAATGCATTTACATGTTATAATATTTCACTCATTTAATGAATCCAGAAATATCTCATGTATTCAGAGCAGCGCTGACGGCACAGCAAGCTGAACTTCCCTGTGTGTGTGTGTGTGTGTGTGTCCAGCTGTGCCAAGCAGCATCTGTGCAAGTCTCAATGGGAGATGATCTGCAATGTGTGTGTGTTGTGAAAGGCCAAGCAGCACACACTCACACACACAGATGGACAGGCCCTGGGCAGGCAGACAAGTCGATCAACACAGAGGACAGATTCAGCCAAGTGCAAATGCATCGTGTTCTTACCATAGAGGCGCTGTCAGCACGTACACACACACACACACACACACACACTCCTGTAAGCATGCAGATGTGCTTGGTAAATAGGATCTTCTGCCTGCTAGGCCTGTCAGGAGGAACGCCTCTCCTCGTCTGACCCGGTTATCCTCATATCACCAGCAGAGAGAGCGAGCGTCTGTCTCTGTGTGTGTGTGTGTTTGTTTGGGTTTGATGTTTTCCGTTGTGTGTTTGTTTATTTCTCCCCTTTGCTATAGACATGTTGTCTTCGCTCTCGCAGCTCTCTGGAGGAATATTCCTCCGTGCCGTCGGCTGTCCGCTCCGAGGGTGAAATGTCAATCAAAGAGCGAGAACATGAGAATCACGGGGCGGAAGCAGAAAGGCGGTTTTAGAAAAATGTTTGAAAAATGCTTTGGATACACAAACGCACACCTATTTGTTAGGCTAGTAAAGTACACAAAGCTCAAACTGACAGAGCATGAGATATAGTGTGACTCGAGCTCTGTTCCAAAATTTCTCATTTATTAGGCGTCATATTTACGGTCCGATGACCTCCAAACAAGTTCAGGAAACCTGTCGAGAGCACGGCCATACTTCATCCAGAGATATTGTACATGTCTTTTTACAAAAAAAACAAGGCTGCATTTATTTTAACAAAAACTAAAACGGTGGTTTTCTGAAATAATATTACAGTTTAACCCTCAATAATGACCCGAAGCGTTTAAATAAAAAAATGTTAGCTTCACCGGAATGGTCCGAAACTTGGTGACTTTAATGGTACTTGGTATATGAACACCCAAAAGAATTGGGGTCTAAGTGGTCGTAAAAAAAAATAGTCACACTCAGGACCTTCGGGTCAAAAATGACCCGCATAGGAAATGAGTGGGAAATTGGCAAAAATGTGAAAATACTGAGTTTTTTTGTGCGTACAATCTAAAAAATCAGCAACGATCTTGAAAAAAATCACACAACAGTGAAGGGGTGAATCTATAAAACATCAAGAGTGCAAAACAGACACACACACACACAAACACACCAAAAAACTCAGACTATACATGTGTTTTGCATTTTTAAAAAGCTCAGTTTGTCCACGAGATGGCATCCATCTAATTTCAAAAATTGTTTTTATGAGGCCTAGGCTTGACTCCAAAATGAAATACAGCTTTAAAAAATAAAAATAAAAATGTCTATTATATTCAATGGGGGAAAATTTGGTCATAATTATTGCATTAATACTAATTATAAATTTTTGAAATTTTCTCAAAACACCCAAAAATATTATAAAAAACAAGTAAAAAAAAAAAAAGATTTTCTTTTTTAAATATGAATCCCGCCCTTTGGGTCAATTTTGACTCGAAATTCCCGAGTGTGACTGTTAAACGAAGAACCCCAGAGGGTTAAAATAACCGTTTTAATATGCATTAAATATAATATGCATTATAAAATGAAATGTATTCATGTGGGAACAAATATGAATTTTCAGCATCTTCAGTGTCATGTGATCCTTTAAAAATCATTCTGATCTGCTGATTCGTAAAAAAAAGATCAATTAAGAAAAATATTGCTGATGAATAGAAACATATTTAAAATAGTACTATTGTCTTTATTAAATTGCATTCTTGCTGAATACTGAAAAAATGTATTGCTTTCTTAAAAAATTAATTACTTACTGACCCCAAACACTCATTTGTGTGAAGTATTTAATATTTATTCATCATGGTATTATTTTCTGTACTTCCTTGATTGAATGCTGATTGCAATTTAATTATTTATTTAATTAATCAAGCATTAATGTTGTTTATCCAACATGCATAATTATGCTAAATCATCTAGTATTATATTGCATGTGCTATTTATTTTAGTTTGTATGAAGTATGTGTGTGTGTGTGTGTGTGTGTGTGTCCACAGGTAGAATGTAAGAAGGCCCAGCCGAAGGAGGTGATGTTTCCTCCAGGCACGAGGGGGAGGGCGAGAAGTCTTCCGTACACCATGGACGCCTTCATGCTTGGCATGGGCATGCTGAGTGAGTCTCACACACACACACACACACACACTGGGCACTTAAGGTGATGACTTGAGACAAATGTCTGTCTGTGAACGTGTCTGTGCCGTGGGATTCTTCAGCGCTGATGAGCAGATAAACGTCTGTATTAATGACTCAAATGAAGAGGAAAATTAGGCTAATGCTCAGTGCAGCGTCTGCCTGACCTCTGACCCCGCTAATGAACGAGAACATACAAACCTGCTGCCATGATCACATACACAGATATATAATAATCATATTGAGACTTTAACTCCTAAGTGTCTAAACACTAAAACAGTATTATCCTATACTAAACCTAAACTAATCTGGACAAACTATATATCATTCGAAAGCTTACAATCTCTAGTTTCCATATTTGATTTTCAGAGGAGCTGTAATTTGATATAGTCATGAACATGAAAAATCAATCAAAAAAAGAAAATGACATTTTTTTAAATATAAAGAAAAAAATGATAGATGTTGCAGCGAGCGAGCTATAACGCACATACTTGTTCTTTTTATGTTTATTAGAGGTTGAATTCATATCAAAATCTGCCAAACGTCTCATATTACTTCTGAATAGGATGTCTACTTCATAAATTGTGTGAAAATTGTGTAAATAATGGTTCAGATCACTCAAACACATATGGAAATGGAAGCGCCCTTATATGGGCAGTGATGGAGTCTGGTTGTGCCCTAGTGGAAGCGTTCGGTACTGCGGCCAAACAACATCTCACTGAAAGCTCATTTTTATGTCAATATCAACCTAAAGTTTGAACCACAACATGTTCAGATTTTTGGCTTTGATTTTTTTTATTTATTTTTTTTTTATTTGCAGTTTTAGAGTCACCCAGGTTTTGAAAATACATATTTTATATAAAATATGAATAATAAAATTGGTAACACTTTATAATAACTGCACGCTATTAATCATTAGTTAAGCATGAGTAAACAGTTAATTCATCATTTATAAAACATTAATAGACATTAATAAGCAGTTTATAAATATAGCTATAAATGCTTTTTTCTTGATTTATACGCATATCTATAATGCGTTTAATAATTGTAGTTTCATACTTTGTTAATGATCAATTAATAATTTCTAAATGAATTATTAGCATTATTTACAAACCAGTTGTTTAAGAGTTCAGTCATTCATAAGATCACACTGCAAGTAAATGTAGTAAATACAGGTTATAAAGCACTATTAACTATTTTTGTGAGCTAATCTAAAGTGAGGACTATTCATGCTTTGTAAAGCATTTATAAAGGCGATTTAAAGACTCGTCAATCTTTTAAACAGTAAATGTAACAAACACAACGCAATGATACAGAACATAGAAATATTTAACAGCCTTTAAAAATGAATAGGAATATAATAGAAATATTTAACAGCCTTAAAAATGAAATGAACAAGAATAGCCCTCACTTTAGATGAGCTCACGAACATAGTCAACTGACCACTACTAAATGCTTTATAACTACCCAAATTAACCCTGAATTACAGTATTAATATGTTAATAAAGCATTTATTAACACACTAAGTAACCATCACTATATGTCTGAATGATAAGCTGTATGAATGTACATTTAAATAGTTTATTAATCATTTACTTACACGCTCTAAGTAATTGTCAATTACGAACCATTGACAACTCTCAAATAACTGGTTCATAAAAAATGCAATTCTTCATAAATGATAAATTGATCATTAACACTGTAAAAATGAATATGCTTTATCTAATCAATAAAATTGTGGCAACATATTACAAGCAATATTATTTATTAAATTGAACAAATTAGAATTGAGTAATAGTTAATCAAATTAACATTCTAAGTAATTCTAATTCGTACAGTTTAATTAATAATATTGCTTGTAATATGTTGCCACAATTTTATTAATTAGATAAAGCATATTATTTTTTTCAGTGAATAAAGGATGAAAATACAATTATTTAACAAATTATAGATATGCTTTTAAATCAAGAAGAAAGTATTTATAGCTGAATTTATAAACTGCTTATTAATGTCTATTAATGCTTTATGAATGATGAATTAATGCTTTACTCATACTTAACTAATTATTATTAGCATGTAGTTATTATAAACTGTTACAATAAAATTTTGTACATTGTGCATTTTCATAATTTTTTTTTTCTTAATTTATTTCACTTCTAAAAATCTGTCAAAATGTGTTCTTTAAAACGAGACCAATCTTACGTCCATATTCCCAAAGCATTCTTGAAAAACAACCAGTTAAGTTTGAAACGTGCATTTCCATTTATATTAAAAAAGGGGGGTGACACATAACAGGACTTTCAAGTAAAAAAAACACACATAAATTTGGCATATTTTATAAACTGTATTTGACTGTATTTAATTTATTTTATATTTAAACCCTGAAATAATGAGATGCACACAGATCCCTGATACTCAA